AGTGGTCGGTACAAAAAACTTTTTCTACCAGGCACTGTGGCTGGTGGGGAAACCTTTTACTTTCCACCCCTGGATGAAGGTGAAGACATGGTGCGCAGCACAGAAATGTGCACATTGCTCCATTCTGGTCCACTCCAATCTGGTTTGCTTAAAAAATATATTTTGGGCTAAMAAATGAAATTCTGCAAACCGCACCAAAAGAAAAAAAATCAAGTCCATTTTTGGTCCGGACCAAACAAGCGGACCAAAGGACTTTCCTGGTGCGAATACGACCTTAATAATAATAATAACTAGACATGGATTTTTACGATGTAAAAACAAGTGTGCATTGCCTTGTAGCATGCCTTTGCCTGCAGCAGTGGACCTGCAGAATGAACTGTGACCAAGTTCAAATGTGTTTTCTATGGTGCAGTACCAAGCTTAGCAGATAAAGCAGAGGGCAGTATTGGACCAATGCAATGCTCCCTGTGGCACGCAATATATGAACTGTGACCAAGTCCAAATGTGTTTTCTAATCAAATACCAATGTGTTCCTGTCAAGTCAGCAGGTGTTTGTAATCAGGATAATTGTGTGGAAAATATGACAATATGTATTTTTTATTGAAATTTTTTATTCATAGCTGGGACTGAATCCTGATCTCCTGCATGAAACAACATGGTTTTCACCATGACATCATGGAATCCATGACAAAGTGCACTGGCAGAGAGTTTTTCCAATGTGTGCAGAAAAGGCAACATTGCCAATGCAATCGTTTTCACAAAACTGCAACATATTACAACAATAGAGCAATATTAGGACAATATTATAGTAAAACAACAAAAGGCAATCATAGTAGTATAATAATCACGGAACTACTGAGTTTAAATATTATTAAAGTATGGTGCAGTACAAAGTTGAGTAGATACAGCAGGGGGCATTATTGGACCAACACAAGGCTCCATTGACTCCATTATATGATTTTTGGAGTAAAGTTTAAACATTAATATTTCAAAAAGTACAAGTTGTACAAGCACCAAAAGGCATAGCCATCATTTGGCATGGGACATTAACAGATACAAATTACAATGGCGGCTCTAGGACAAAGCATGCAGGAGGAGAAGCGTGCCAAAGTGCAAGGTGACTTGGATGGGAAACGAATCACAATAGTGTGCATTGCATTGGCAACGCACACTGATGATAACGACGCATCAGTCTTATACTGTATAGTGTTTTTAGGACACGCTAAGACACTTCAAATCATTCATTTATTTACACATTCACACACATGATGTAAGTATTTATTTGGACTCTAATATAAGTGAGGAAGTGAGTCATGGAGAATGTTGTGTAGTGTTGTGACTGTAGTCGGCTTTCTGGGCTGTGGGTGATCATATTAAGGAAATGAATTAATGTTTCATTTGACTGACCTTGTAGGGACTGTACTCTCCACGCTTGCTCTTCAGGTAGCTGGAGAGGTTTCCATTTTTACAGTACTCAACAATGACCATCAGCGGTCCTACATGAAGAAACAGGAACAAAACTCCTTCAGTGTGCCCCAGGGCACCGGTGGCTACAACAGCTTACCACCATCAGTGTATGAATGTGTGCCTGAACGGGTGAATGGTTGACATGTGAAGCACTTTGGAGTCTGTAGGGACTTGATAGAGCACTATATAAGTTCAAGCCATTTACCCTTTAGAGCTGATGAATTTTTTTTAAAAGCAAGAAGAAAAGGAGAAAATGAAAGATATAACATAACTTATTATTACAAAGATGTTCGAGCCAAAACAGATGATGATGACTCACCCCCAGGTTTGGTGCACGCTCCAAGCAGATTGACAACATTKAGGTGATGTCCGATGTGGATAAGTATTTTCAGTTCTGACATCAAGGCACGATACTCACTGCAGGTGGCTCCGTCTGTGACACAGTGAGAGACGTCTGTGCTTTCACAGGTTTTCACTGTGCATGTAGTTTGTCTAAAATAAAAAGAAACACTAACCCTTCAGCATCTTGACAGCAACAGTTGTGCATGTGGCCGCTTTCTCGATCCCAAACGCAGCTGCCTCCAGCACCTGACCAAATGCCCCTCGGCCCAGCGGGTCACCTGGGATGGGAAACATTCATGGCTCATTAACCAATTTATTGTCATTTCCAGTGTTGTTCAAGATGTAGAACATATTTGTTGACACTAACTGTTACACTACATACTGTTACACTACATACTGTTACACTACATACTGTTACACTACATACTATTACACTACACACTGTTACACTACACACTGTTACACTACACACTGTTACACTACACACTGTTACACTACACACTGTTACACTACATACTGT